AAACCGCACCCATAGTCAAATGATTATTTCACTTGTAAATCAGACCTCCAACTGGAACTCCCTTCAGATAGCTCAAAATTCTAATAATAGCATCGCAGTGAGGAATCTTTGGAGAGTGCATAGACCTAATCACTACACTTACTGCAAAAGTTATACCAGGCTCAGTAATGGTCAGATAAATCAGTACCTTCCTGGATCCTCAAACAACCCCCCTATCAGCCGATAATTTTATATTTGAATCCATAGGACTATCAACTGCTTTAGCCCCTAACATTCTAGTCTCTATCAACAAATCAGTCGCATATATCTTTGTGACAAGCTAATTCCATGCTTTGATATGGCTAATTCAATTTCTAGAAAATACCTTAGCTAGCCCAAATCCTTTGCTTGAACATATCTTTTTAGGTGCCTCTTCAAATGACTAATTCCTTATTAATCATTGCCAGTAATGACAATATCATAACCATATACAAGTAAGACAATTATCCTGGAGTCCTGTTTCTAGAGAAACACGGAATGATCTGCATTGCTGCGTCAAAATCCATATGCAACAACAATTTCACTAAATTTCTCAAACCATGCACATAAGGACTGCTTCAGACCATAAATGGCTTTCTTAAACTTACATATCTTATCTGAATCCCCTTGAGCAACAAACCTAGGTGGTTGCTCCATATACACCTCTAGAAAATCACCATTGAGGAAGGCATTCTTCACATCGCTGCCACACTGCCCAGCCCTTATTTGCTGCTACAGAAATAACTACTTGAACATAATTGAGTTGGGCAATGGATACAAAAGTTTCAGAGTAATCAATGTCGAAGATTCGGGTGTAATCTTCGGCAACCAACCTCGTTTTTAATCTTGGTCCCATCAGGCTGATATTTTACTACATAAACCTAGTGACACCCAACAGTTCTTTTTCCAACTAGTAACTCCATGAGCTCCAATATATCGTTCACGTTGAGTGCATTCATTTCATATTCCAATGCTTTCTTCCACCCAGTATGAGAAAGTGCTTCCTGATAACACTTAGGGATAGAAATAGATGAAAAACCCAAAACAGAACTTGATAGGATGGGGAAAATTTTTCAAAGGTAACAAAAGGAGCAATAGGATGTTCAGTGCAAGACCCATGAATGCTACTATGCAAACCTAGAGACTGCCTCCATGTTTTCCATGCTTGACAGTCCTAATTTTGTTATTTCCAAGTTGATAGTTGAATATGAGTTTGTTCCCAACCAAAAGTAAATTTCTACAATTGTTGACCACATCTTCTGCCCATTTTTAGACCAGCCTACTCAATCCACAGGGATTTGAGCTCTGGTTGAATTGGCCCCAAGAGAATATGCCAACATCTATGCCATAGGCTGTCCACATGTGCGTAATTTTATCTTGCATGCAGTACAAACCCTCTACGGCTTCTACTTTTGTCTACCTCTTGAGATTGAGTTTGAAATATACAACAAAGCATGCTGCTCCAACATCATCCAATAAGCCAAAAGACTTTTCGATCAGTTTTACCTATCTCTAAGGAGATAATCAGATATATTAGATTTTAGTCATTTAACTAAGGGCCCAAACAAGTGATCGGCTAATATCTTATCACTAGCGAAGGATCCAAATAACTTTTTTTTCTTTTTCATAAGTTGGGGATCCAAATAACTTACCACCTGTCATTCGTTTCGCTTTATAGTGATAAAAATATAGTTTTGATTTCTGTGTCATTGTATCTTATAGCGGAAGTTCATCCAAAAGTTATGATCTAACAAAGAAACAGAATAAAAAACCAAGATTCCTCACTTTAAGGCCCTAATCTTGAGGTAGAAAATAGAAGTATTTGTTGAGTATTAAGTTGAGACACAATCTAACGCCCTTCATGAAAATTAATTCCCATCTTAAAACATAAGTAGCTTTTTTCATAATATAAACCAAAAACTACATTAAATATCCCAAAAAATCAATCACTAAATTCACGATTAAGACCATAATAAGTTACTGATATACAAGAAAGAAGAGCCACCGTGGAATGACATCTAATAAATCATACCTGCCTCACTATCTCCTTCCTTACATGCTTGTGGTAGTCTGGATTACGAAATAATTGATCCGCCAATGCTCGAAACTGTTACGTCATAATCCGAATATAACATGAAGGACAACTAATCAATTACAACCAAAACATAATGTATGCAGTATACATCTAAAGTGTGATTACTTCATTAATTATCAAATACAACTACTATTCACATTTCAAGTAAAAAGTACTCCGCAATATCTGCAACGAACCTGGCAGTTTCCATCTCCCTCTATTTGCAGTTCAGCCAAACCATATGTCACCAATCTGATCAAAACAAATAAAATTATGCATTCATTAAATGAAATGATCGTGTCCAAGAAAACATTACACACACTTCCACAGTGAGATATGACAGCATAGTAACATTGATATACACAAACTCCAAATCTTTCATGTGTGCGTACATGCAATAAAGAATACCAAAATAATGGTATAGAGAAGTCCATCCAAGTCATGATTATTCATCTTCAATCACAGCAGTTGACAACAAATAGTTTTTTATTTATTTTTCTGATCTTAATGACTCTATAATCATGGTTCTCATGTAGAACTTTGTCACAGTAAAACCATCCGTAAAGTGGACATATAGAGCTATAATCGAGTCCTGAGTTAAACATTGCAGAGCAGAGTACCAAGATTTATTAAAAAGTCATGCCCGCTTAACTCATGCAAGCTGAGGAAAGGCCCAAGCAAAAATGATTCAACTACATCACTCTAGGCCCCTTTCCTGAAGGAAAACTCGAGGAAATCAAACTACAACTCCCCATTTTGTTCAGCTTAACATGCCTAGTCGATCCAACTCATGCTAGTTTTTACCAAATTGATTAGTTTTTGAATGGGCCAGGTCAGACTCGAAATTTGAAGCTCTAGACCTTTAGAAAGGCATATGTTGATGGGTATGTTAGAGTTCAGAGGAGTACGCTAAGGTTCATAGGATCCCTCTTCGCCTTAACTTATCGCCTTAGCAGATATAAACCCAAAAGACCAAAGCTTAAAGTAGATCTAACATTTAGGCTTCTGGCCTTTGAAACAACCGCCAACAGTTTGAGAGAGAACAATTCTTAAGCCTTAATTATTTGCACGACCTTCTTTTGATAGAATCATTGAAATACTTGAGGAAAACATCAAAATACTTCAGGCGTTGAGTCATCACCATGTCAATCATGGTCAGAACCCACTATTTTCACATCAGAGCTTGTAAATGTAACTTTTCCTTTCTCTTATTTACAGTTTTACACTTCCTCAATTTTAGTGATGAGCACGTATACTATGCTCCCTCGGGAGCATGGTCTGTTTTTACTCCCTCGGTCAAAATAACTACTTGGGAGGATTTTTTCAATCTGAAAATTTGGGAGCCACTTAAGAATTACTAGATGATTATTCTCAAATAAAAAAAAAAATTGAAATTTGAGTTTTCTAACACTTAGATTTCACCATCTAAAAATTGGATGGTCTCTATTCAATCTCGAGACATTATTTCTTTCAAGTGCGTAGAGGATACAATTATGATTTTTTTTATTGAGGTATTATTATGGGTTAAAGAGATTATATCCCCAAAATTTGGGGTCCTAAAATTAATTCTTAATGGGGTTTTACGTGAGGGAGTAAATGGACATTCTACTCCTGCAGGAGTAGAAAAACTTTTGACTTTAGTAATCAGTAAATAAACATAACGAAAAAAAATTGATCAATGAACTTAATGTTGAAATTTTCTCTCTTTCAGTTTCAAGTTTTTTTTGTGAAATGAACATTTATATGACTACCCCCTATAATTTTACTATAAAAATAACATATTCCAATAAAACACTCTCGTGAATTTCTTAGGTCAGTGACCTAACATTATTGTATCACATTTTTTTATATAGAAATCAGATTTTAACATTCCTACTTCCATTATTAAAGATGCTCTTTTTATTTATTTTCTAATTTGCAATAACACTTGTATTAGGAGTAAAAGCAACTTAAAAAGTAATGCTTTCAAGAAGATCAAAAGCTAAGGTGCCATGAAGTCTCCCAAACCTAACCCTTCCTATTTGCAAAGTAGCAGCAGCCCATTTGTATAATATCCAAATACAAAAGGTGGACAATAAGTGCACAATTTTCACAAAGACTATCACTTGTCTCCAAGCGATCAGATTCCATCTTAAGCCCTCTAATTACATTAAGCCACCCACAATGATCCCATGTCTATCATAGATCCTTTTTTTTTGTTTTTTTTCCGGTTCGCTGTTGTGTTGTCACTTCAACGTAATGAAATGAAGAAGCATAGGAGTACAAAGAAAATCAACCAATGATGATTACAAAACTTTTGCCGCTTCACTAAGCCAGAAAGGGCAGAGATTCTTCAGCCTTAACAACAAGCATTTGTGATCGGGCCATTCCCTCGCTGGCTAAGGAGTTGGCAAAGCGTTGGATTCGTACCCCTAATGTGTAAGCAAACCTCAAAACTTGTACATCTTTCGAAAGTTTCTTCCAAATGGTGAGCTAGTCTCCAAGGGAATCTAAATTGGGGTTCTTTACTCATTTAAGGTGATGCAGTGAAGTCTTGTTAACATCAAACCCCTATCAATGCCCATTGTAAACCGGCATGCTATCAATGCCCATTGGAGTGTGTATTCAAACGTGTAAACACAGCCCAACATAGTCAAAATGCGTGGTCACGCATCGTGTCAGGCTCAAGTAAGAATGGTTGACACTCCTTAATGAAGTGTAAGGTGTTTGGAAATGCTCTTGTCGCTATTCTTAGCGCCCTTCCAAATCCTACTCCTAAATATCCAAATCTAGGATATCTTTTCCTTTCAGGATTCAAATTCAAAATTTATTTCCAAAACAAAATTTAGTCTCATTTTGAAATCTTCACTGGCCTAAATGCCGCGATTTCATGCACTTGCCAATCACAAATATCAAATCCGTCCAATTTTGCTAGCCACATCTCACCTTCCACTCCAATACCTTCAAGCTTTGATGAGCTCATCCAAAATATGGTGAGAACCATCCAAAACTACTACAACCATGGAGTTTTAACTTCTGCGTTCACATTTCAAGATAGAATGTGGAAAAGATACCATAATGGCTATAAGACACCAAATTGCTGTAATTTTGGAGCTATGTAACTTGTACACATGTGACCATGGTTCTGGGCACGCGAAGACACACCAAGGACGGGAAAGACATGTTTGACACTTTAGTAACTTAGGTTCTTCTGCTCAACATCATCATCATCATCATCAGACCCTTTTTTCTGCTCAACATCATCATCATCAGATCCTTTTTTCTGTTCAACATCATCATCATCATCATCATTAGAGCTTTCTCCCAACTATTTTGGAACGGCTACAAGAAATCCCGGTATGCTATTCTGCTCTATCATGGGCCATACCTTTAGTGAGGCCATAAGTCCTCATA